CTAGCATATGTTAGAGGAGAATTGAAGGTAAAGTCTTTACAACCTTTTCTTTCTTCCACTTTTTTTTCTCTCATCTCCTAAAAAATCATACCAATCCAAGATCTTTCCAATCTAGCATATGTTAGAGGAGAATTGAAGGTAAAGTCTTTACAACCTTTTCTTTCTTCCACTTTTTTTTCTCTCATCTCCTAAAAAATCATACCAATTTATCAAAATTTGAATAAAGATAAAGGGTAAAATTGGTTTCAGATTAATAATGCATTAATGATTAGCATGGGTATTATTCCATTAAACATAATAATAATAAAGATGAGGGTGTTATGGATTTAATTAAAATAGTAGATGACAATGGTAGGATAATGAGTCTGTTGTTGTGGAATTTGATTATGATACCGAAATTGATAACATAGTTTGCAATGATTGGTCTTTTTAACATATAAATTCAATTGGTAATGCTGATTTGGTAGTTGGGAAAAATTTTAGCACTAAATATGATTTAATAAATATTAAGTAGTGACTTATTGTATATTTACTTGAATATCAAGTTTAACATTTAAACTCACCATTTATTTAATTATAATGTGTTCAAGCACTTGGATGTCAATGGTATTTGTATGAGGGATATCATAAAAGGTACTTATATTGTTGCAAGCATACAAAAAGAAATTAAATTGCACCATAAGTTTAAAACTTCTTACTATAAGATATGAATTGCAAAATAAAAGATTCTCAAGCAAATGTTTGGTAAACATGAGGACTCATTTGAAATATTACCTAGGTTGTTGTTGGAAATACAAGAATTAAATCCTGGAAAAATTATTGAGTGGCTTCGTAATAGACAACTTGATAATTAAGGGGTTCGAGTTTTGCAGGTCAATTATGAAGCTTCCAAGCATAAAGTTGATACATGGTTTAATGATATAGATAATAATCATCCAAAATAGAAAAAAATGATTAGAGTATGAACTAAAAAAAAGATAGACACCATCTTATAAGGGGGGCCATCAATATAGTGATATGACAACAAATCTTTCTAAATCTTTCAGTCATGTTTTTAAAAGGTACATATAATTTGTTTGTTTTTGCTTCAGTCTAATTAACATTTTATAGGACAAATGCATATTTTGTTACATGAAAAGTGAATGCATATATGACTATATTGCACGTGAGATATTATGGCCTTTAATTGTTCAATTGGAATTAGATGCTAACATACTTAGATATATAATTCATATTATAGTATTGTTTAATATTGATAATGATATTTTTTTAAGTTCATACCTGTCATAAATCAAGTGTCAAAAAAAGAAGAAATATGATGACTATTTAAATTGGCTGAAGAAATATACACATGTGGTAAATAATAGAGTCATCATAAACCTTATTTACACATTCTTGCATATTGTGTAGAAAATCATCTTAATGTTACCTAGTATGCTGACTTGCATTATAATGTTTAGTTATAAAAGAACACATATAAGATTTTATCCCATCCTTTACCCTACAAATTAAATTGGAGTGAATATATTGGTCATTGAGTTTACCTAAACCCTTTTATATGGGAAATCAATCGGGTTGTATAACTAGATGAACAATAAAAAAAGACATTCTTAATATAGATATGGAATATGCAATCCAACAAGGCATAATTAAAAAAACATGTAAATATAGACAACATATGGATCTAATTATTACAAAGTTAACATGTTATATTTTTATTTATTATTGTTTCAATTGTGATGTTATGTATTAAATCTTATTTTGTATTTTATTATGGTGATGTTAAAAAATATTTGTTTTATAGGTAAACTTAGTTAGGATGCCATGTACAGGAGTTGCTTTTTCATATGCATGTAAATATAAAGTTTCTCAGCACATGGATCTCGGTTCGGTTGATCATTCTAGATTGTAGGAGTTGTATAAATCAAAAGTCATATAGAATAAGAACATTATTTTATTTTAATATAAAAAAATAAAAATATTAAGCTAAGAATAAGAACACTTATATTTTAGGATGTTGTTTTTCTACTTGACTTGCCTATAGATTATTGAGAACTTACTGTTATGGGTATTTAAAATAATGTTGCTTTATATGAGCATGCATGTAAATGAGCATCCCCTCTTAAGATGTTTAAGGGGAATGCTTTATGTATGAGATGATTTTAGGATAATTTTTTGAATTATTTCATGTTGATGACAAGATCCTATGATGGTATTTTAATATAGACTATTAGTGCAATTAATATATTAATTGATATAATATGGATTTTAAGTTTTTTTTTTTTGTTGTGGAGGTATGCTAGAGTATACATTATTTTTTTTTTGTTGTTGTGGAGGTATGCTAGAGTATACATACTTCATATATTTAACATCAAACTCTTCACGGATCTCAGCAGAATGTGTGTGCCATTGTTATACTTGCCATTGTTGAATGACTTTGACTTCATTCCACTGTATAATTGGGGCTTAGACATCCTTTTATATTTGTATATGCACCTGTGTCAAGTAAGCTTGGAAAAAACAAAGCAAGTTGGATGATGTTTGCTATTTTTATAAGTTAAATGATGTACATGGTTTTTAGTATTTGTATTTTTTGAGCAATATTTGAGTTGATTACTAATCATTGTTTCCCCTATATAACCATGGTCATGGGAACATCTCCACTTGGGGTGTCCCCGAATTAAGTAGGAACTTGATATGTTTGTTCAGGTTTTGGAGGTAGAGCTGCGGCTTCCATTAGCATACATTACGTCTCCGAATTAAATTGAGACCTGATATGTTTGTTCAGGTTTTGGAGGTAGAGCTGCGACTTCCATTAGCATACAAGTAATGTAATCTTCAAACTAAGAATAATTTTTATTTTAACATTATTTAATAAGTTTATTGGTTCTTTATTAACAAATAATGTGGTAGTAGGAACTTTGAAAATGATCCAACACATGTTTTGTTATTTTATCATAATGAGTTAGACAAACATTAGTCTACCAAAGTATGTTTTAGTAAATTGCAATGTTGATGTTAAAATTAATTGATGTTTGGGATAAATTGCATTATTGATGCTAGAAAATGTTGAGAATTGCATTGTTTATATTTAAAAATGTTAGGATAAATTGTATTATTGATGTTGAAAAATATGATAATAAATTGCATTGTTAATGTTGAAATGAGTTGTGTTGAATTCTTATACAGATGATGATCTATTAGTTGCATTGTTGATGTTGAGAAATTTCAAGAAATAATTGTATTTTTTTAATGATGGATAATGTTTGGATAAATTGCATTGTTGATGTTGAAATAGGTTGTGTGGAATCCTTATTTAGAAGATGATTTGTTAGTTACTCATGTTATATGTATATTGACCAATGATTTATGAATAATAGTGGTTTCCCTCATATTTTTTAAGCTTGTTAAGATTTATTGCTCGAATTATGTGATAGCACAATTGAACTTCTAGCAATCCATTCTATATGGTATAGATGTCAGTGATAAATTGTATGTCATTAGTTATTCAGATAAACACATTGATTATAATTAGATGATCTATCATTTATAATATATATCAATAAAAAAAGTATAAAGAGATGTGATCTTTAAAGGGATGTATTTTATAATTTTCAAGGAGAAATACATAGATTAATACTTGGGTATAACACGTTGAATCATTCCATCAAATTTAGCTCATATTCCTCCACACAAGAATATAGAGTATGAGTCACATATATGTTTGATTCAAAATATTGTAGGTATTTGTTATTTTTATATGTAATATGTGATAACCAAAATGTTTTATTTATAAATTAATAAATTTATTTACTTAGCATTAAGTTGGTTTGTTGTAATATGATGATTGATATATCATGGCTGATCTTTATGATCATAAACATAATGATGAATTTACTTATTATTATATATTTTTTTGGCTTACAAGATAATGATGAATTTGCTTATTATTATATATTTTTTTGGCTTACAACATGTCATATTATATTTGAGTTATTAAGAGAGATATTAAATCTTGATGGTGTTGTCTTAAAAAATAAGACCACACAGACAAATAAAAATCATGTTATTAATAAAATTGACCTAACCAATCATTAACGCAAATATAGATAGATTCATATATTTTGTTGAGAGAACATTTATATTGTGTTATTTTCTTTAGTTAAGAAGTCTTTATTTTTTTATTTTTGTAAAGTTATTTTGGCCAATTATTATGTTTTTAATATTATCTTATATTTTATAAATTTTCATATTTTTTTTGGGTAAATAGAATTTAAAATTTTTAATTTACAAAGTGAAAATCACAAAACATGTTTTTTATAATTTCAAATAAGATATTTACATGTTAAAAATGATACCTTGCACTATTCTATTATTGACAACATTAATTATTTTAATAATTAATAAATAAAAAAATATTATACAAATTACCATTATAATTACAAAAAAAATCAATATTAAAATATCATAATTATAATTAACAAATAAAAACAACATTAACAATTAGATTTTTTTTATTAGACTTTCTCCTACATCCTTTGCTTTTTTCACCACCATGTTGAAATATTGATTTTGAATTTTGGATTACACTCATGGATTTAAGTTTAGAGTTTATGAAATTGAAGTTTGAATATACAAATTTAGGGTTTTAAAATTTAGAATTGTTAGAGATTGTGGAATCTGGTTCGGGGTTATTGAATTAGAGGTTATGGATTTTCCAGCAACAATGTGCTACTTTGTGAACAGTTTTTTTTTTTTTTTTTTGAAATAATTGGCTTAATAAGCCACCGTACAACATTTTTTTAAATTATAAAGAAGTTTGACATGTTTATTTTTAAAAAAATTAATTTTTTATTTTAAATTAATAAATTTTTAGTGTTTTAAAATTATTTTAATATATTAATATTAAAAATAATTTTTTTAAAATAAAAAATATTAATAATATATATTTTTAACATGAAAGATTATCTCAAAAACGAGTGGAACTATATTAGTTATTATTGCAGGCACTGTTTCTTTATCTTTCTTCTCTTGTTTTCTTTTAGCAACCCTTTTCTAGACAATCAGAAAAGGCGAGAGGAGAAATGGAAAGAGAGGAAAAAGAGCTGGAGGATGAAATCAAGTTGGCTGGAAATGCACTTCTTTCATCTCCATCTTCCGTTTCGCAACTCCTTCTCTTGCTTGAGGTAATTTTTTTTCTTTTATCATCTCTCCACTTCACTCTTTCTCTACTGTAATTTTTTTTTTTTGGAATAATAAATGGTATGTCTTGGGGTTTCTGTTTTCTAAGTAATTGAGCTTTTTTATTAAATTAAATTTTCTGTTTCTGCCGACATTTTTTTATGTGGGTGGAAAATGAATTACAACTATCTTGAATCGGCTAGAGTCAGCTATTTTTTAGGAGGTGTTTTTTTTTTTTTGTTTGTTTGTTTAATGAAACTCAGGTGTGAATATATCAGATTAATTTGGTTCGACTTCATTATGCGGGTGCATCTTCTTGTAAGCTTTGGTTTGGTTGATATTATAAAATTTGTTTTCCAATTTTGCACTGCATTTCTTTTAAAGTTACAAGGGTGTTCTGAGGTTGATGTTGCATGTAGAATTTAATTTTGGGTTTTGAGTCCAACTTGAAGTAAAATAAAGTTCTTGAAATGGAATTGGTTGAAGTTTGTCCTGCTGTTGTTATGCCAATATTCAGTTTGAATGCAATCTAGAATGCGTTTTGGACTTCTTTTGGTTTTTTGGTTGTCAGTAATTTTGATCAACCTGAGGTTCCTATTGATCTTGTTGATTATCTGACTTGTACTGGGAAAAGTCACACAATACTTAAAATGTCTCAACCTCCGAGGTGAAGATGTCGGTTGGAGTGTTTTATCTATTACCCTCTATTTACAATCTGTTAAGCTCAAATCTTCTTGTCTCTCTCTGTTTAAATGCAGATGCAAATGCATTGTCTCATTCATTTTCCTTTTGTTTTCTTTTCCTTTTTCGTAGAAACTTGAGGATTGTTTAAAGAGAGTGAATCAATCTCCTTCCAAATCAATGCAAAGGGCAGTAGAGCTTGCAATGAAGGCACTTATGGCCAAAGAACTTTTGAATCATTCAGATGTGGATGTGAAAGTTTCTGTTGCATCATGCTTCAATCATATTTTAATAATAACAGCACTAACTTTTTCATATGATGATGAACAAATGAAGGTACCTACCCCTTTATGTGTCTCATGTTTCTATTTCCAAAGGGACTAAGAATTTATTTGGTGCATGATTGTAATTGCATAGTCTTGTGCGTACGCCAAGATACTTTAAACTGACTGTGTTTTCAATTTTCATAGTCTTGTGAATGTGTATTTTGTCTTGCTTTTACTTGTTTTATCTAACAATGGATTGTTTTACAGGAAATTTTACAGCTGATTGTAGCTTCATTTGAAAATATATCTGACACCTCAAGTCCTTCATATCATAAAAGGGTTTTGATTCTAGAAAAGTTTGCAAATGTCAGATCATGTGTTTTGATGGTGGATCTTCAATGTTATTCCTTGATCATGGAGATGTTCAAACATTTTTTGACAAATATAAGGTGAGATTGACCGAGTGCAAATTTTTTCTTTTTCTGTCAACTTGTCTCAGCTAATTCTCGAGTAAATTAGTTTTGTTACTTTTTCAGCTTTTGTTCAGGTGGTCTTCGATCTTTTATATTTTGCCACATATAGCTGGTTTTAAATAATTAGGACTTGAATGCTATTTTTTTTTCCCATCTGTTTTTGGAACACACTAAGTAATCCACTCATGTAGCATAGCTTGTTGGCAATGATTCATATTGCAATGCTTTTTTTTTTTTGTCACTCTTCGTGCTTCTGTTACTTAAGAATTGTATCCTTTATTATAAACATTCTGGTCTGTCTTTTGGTTGTACAATGCTTGCTGAACCAAAAAAGGCAGATATGCTGATTTCCAAAAGTATCAACGAGTTTTTCCCCTTCTATGGGAAATAATGTATCAGTTGCATGTGCTTAATTTTATTTAAGTATGATAGTATGCCAATAAATCTGAGTGTTTCATGGAAAAGATTGTAACTCACACGTGTATAAATGCATTTCTTTTTCATAGCATGGATTATAATTTTTGAACTGAATGTGCACATTTTTTAGGGAACACCATCCTGACATTGTATATTCATCTATGGGGCTAATTATGATTATAATCTTGGATGAAATTAAAGAGATCCCATTGGAGATTGTCGACCTCCTTTTGGAATGTATAAGAAACAGAAACCAGGTGAATGCATAATCAACTTTTCTTTTTATTTCTTTTTTCTTTTTTCCCATCAAACTTGTATAGATCTTTATTATTAAATGATCAAGTATTTTTTTTCTTTTCTTTTTTCACCAGGATGTTTTGCCTATTGCACAAAAACTTGGAGAGAGAATATTTGAAAATTGTGGATCAAAGCTTGCTCCCTACATGCCTCAGGCAAATTATTGTGGCCAGCCACATATTAGGGGCAAGCTGCAGGACTCAGGAAGTCATACTGAGGTTGTTGTATTTATCTCATTTCACATGAAAACTGGATCTCTTTAATCAGTAGGATTCACCATACATTCTCGTTGCAGCTACTTGTGAAGGATAACAGTGATAGAGGAGAAGGCTGTGGATATCAGGTTTTTGAAAAGGAGGGGAATAGTGAGGAAAGCAGAGAGATCAAAGAAAATGCTCCCTACATGCCTCAGGCAAATTATTGTGGCCAGACACATATTAGGGGCAAGCTGCAGGACTCAGGAAGTCATACTGAGGTTGTTGTATTTATCTCATTTCACATGAAAATAGGATCACTTTAATCAGTAGGATTCACCATACTTTCTCCTTGCAGCTAGTTGTGAAGGATAACAATGATAGAGGAGAAGGCTGTGGATATCAGGTTTTTGAAAAGGAGGGGAATAGAGAGGAAAGCAGAAAGATCAAAGAAAAGGATTTCAAAGAGAAGACACTTAAAGAGGAAGGTGAGATTGTCCTAAGGGAGTTTATGAAACAGAAGAGAAGTAGAAAAGGGGTCCAAAAGAAGCAGAAGGTTAGCGTTCCACAATTTTTTCCTTGCTTCTTAGTAAATCTAAATTTTGTAACGTGACCATTGTCATAGTTGCTGGGAAGAGTTTTTCGGGCTGCATGATTTTTCTGTTAAATTACTTTGTAAGTGTGAAGCAAGGCATTTGAGTTTTACAGTCCAGTTGGATTTACAATGCATTTACTTCACAGCCAGTTGTGAAGGAGAAGAATGATGGAGAAGAAGGCAGCGAAAAGCAGGTTTTTGGAGATGAGAATAGCAAGGAAGACAGAAAGGAGAAAATCAATAGAGAAGAAGGTTGTAAAGAGCCAGGTTTTCAAGAGGACCATAGTAAGGAAGGCAAGAAGGCCAAAAAGAAGGTTTTCAAAGAGAAGAAAAGTCAAAAGGAAGGTGTAGATTTCCTAAGTGTGAGAAGTAGAAAAAGGGTAAGAAAAGACCAGATGCTTAGTATCCCAATTGATGTTGCCTTCTTTGCCTCTTGGTTGATTGTATTTTGTAATGTGATTTCTCTTGCCTCATGATTTACTGGAGCAGTTCTTTTTTGCTGATATGCTTGTTTAATAAAGTTTTTCCTTTTCTGTTTTGCAGGGTAAACGAGAACTTAAATTTGAGGGAAAACAAGCCATGGACACTAAGTGCAGTCAGCGGAAAATGCATGAGTTTCTTTCAAACTTAAAGGGGAAGAAGAGAAGCATAATTGAAAATTCAATCTTCTCTGCCTTCCTTGATATTCCTAGATGCCCCATTAATCGCAATCTGACAGCAGCTCTTATTGAATGCTATGATTCTGAAAAGGATGCATTTATTGTAGCAGGCCAGCCACTCAAGTTCTGTGGCAAAGAAATTGAGAAATGCATTGGACTCAGCTTTGAAGGGAAAAGGGTGGACATGAATATTTTGGGAGGGGATATTGATCCTCAAATTGCATGGAAGTACTTCGAAATAGTGAAAGGAAATGCAAGAATCAAAGAGAAGCCAACAGATGCCAGTAACGAAAAGGTTGATGGAGAAACCAGAAGTCCCTTTTTGATATCTGAAAGTTTGCTTCTGCAAAAACTAAACCATATGAGTGTCGGCGGAAAAGGGGAAGCTGAGGACTTCCTTCGTCTATCCATTTTATACATGTTCAATGTATATTTCTTTCCATCCGCGTCCAAATATATATATTGGTGGCCGCTCAAATTCCTAGAAAATCTACATGATTTTGGCTCATATGCTTGGGGACGGGCAGCATATGACTATTTACATATATCTCTAGAAAAAGCAGCAAGCAAGTTGGCATGTCAGAACAAATTCTACGTGTCCTTGAATGCATGTATTCCATTGCTGCAGGTATAATGGCATTATTGACTAAAAGTTAGGCTTAATTGTTATTTTTTGGATTTCACATGTTTCTTTTGAATTTCTCTTAGACACTGGCAACGGAACGGATCAGCAAGTTGCAGGCCCAAGCTCCTCCAACAAACCTAAATCCCTCTGTGCTCAATTATACTAAGAAAGAGAGGAGGTCATTCGATGCAATCCAAAAGGTGTTGGCCAAGCTGCAACCTGCTGAGGTAATATGGCAGCAAAAGCAATAATGATTTGTCAAAACCAGTCATAATATTCAATTTCAACCACAACTCTTTTATATAATTGCTCAAAATAATGTCACTATAGATACGTCTTGCATTCTTTTTTCAATTTACCATGTAAAGAAAAAATCAAAGTTTTAATTGTTTCTTGCTGAGATATATAGATCAAGAAATGCAAGGATTGTGAAGGTGTCAAGAACAGTACTCGGTTGCAAGGAGGAGCCAATGTGAAACGCACAAAAAGGCGGAAAACTCAAAATGAAGAGGATGGGGGGTTGGTAATTACGATATAGCTCTTGTAGTTCATGATCTGCAGCAAAATGAAATGGTCTAACTGTACCGTGTTAGTAGAGAGAGATAACATTGGCATTATTATTTAAACTCACTTTTGTTTATTATTATCATATGTTAATATATTTATTTTTTATTTTTTATGTCTGAAAGATACGAACATTTTACCATTCGTTTTTTCCTTTTTTGGAAGACCATTTGGCATTAGCCAAAATTAGCATTACATTAAAATTACAATTAAAAAAAAAACCCCTAAAACAGAACTTTTTTATTTTTTGCTATTTTATCCTTGCACTTGCATGATGTTTGTATCTATTTATATATTATCATCTTTTATTTGCATTCTATTGTAAGAGCGAGGTCCAGGAGTGTTCTATCAGTTAATTAAAGATCAATTTTAAATAAAATAAAATAACTAATTTTATATAAAATAAAATTAATTAATTGCTGAGAAAAAATTAAAAGAATAAAGATAAAAATTTTAAAAATAGATGTTTTATTTTTTGTCCTAGAGATGCGGAAAACTATAATTTTGATCTTTGATGTTTTAAAATTTCACATATTTATATTTTATTTTTATTGTTTAAAATTTTTATGTCTAGGTTCTATTTTTTTTATTTGTCCTTTCATCCTTGCGTATTGAGAGATAAGATAAAAGGTCACTTAAAAAAAAGAAAAAAGAAAATTTTTTGTTGTTCACATTCCAATAATAATAAAAAGTAATTTTGATGATATTCAGTTTAAAAAAAATATAATTCTTTGGAAAAGTTTTTTTTTTGAATCGGTCGATATTCAGTTTAAAAAAAATATAATTCTTTGGAAAAGTTTTTTTTTTGAATCGGTCGTTATTCAGTTTAAAAAAAATATAATTCTATAAAAGTGGTTTAAAACTTTTATCATATATATATATATATATATATTTTGATGATATTCAGTTTAAAAAAAATATAATTCTTTGGAAAAGTTTTTTTTTTGAATCGGTCTGATTTAAGTTAAGTTTTCAAAAAGTTTTATATGTTTTTAAAAAATAGATTTTTTTAATCTTAAACCCAAAATCCTAATGATAGACAAAATTTCAATAAGTAATGTATTATTTACCCATGTTTATTTTATTATTTCTTTAAAAAATTACATGAAAGATACATTGCACGCTCATTACAAAAAAAAGGAAGAAAGTGCATGGTCTTTTTTATATTACCATTCATTTTTTCTTTTCCTTTTTTATATTGGGAAACAAATTTACTATGATTAAAATAATATTTAAAATATTGTCTAATTTTACCATAGTTTTAAGTTAATTTTCTTTAGTCATGATATTTTTCTATATCTTGTTGAACCATACTTTTCAAATCATAAAAAGTTTATATTTGAAAAGTAATGATTTATTTCAAGACAATACGAAAACAAATGAATAAGGAAAAAGATTTTTTTGATTAAATACATATTTTTTCATCTTAATTCAAATTATACATTTTAATGATATTCAGTTTTTAATTAAAACAAATGATGCTCATAGAAAGATGTTTTTGTAAAAAAAAAAATACATTAATAAGAAAATAAAAATTCATATAATAAAAAATATATATTCCTTTTAGATTTATTTTTTTCTTAGAAATATATAATTTCATTACACCAATATTAAGTAAAAAATGATTTTACAAATTGCTTCCCGTGGAAAAAAATTGAAGTGCTTTCAAATTAGGCGAGTTGTAACATGAGGTTGTAGTTAAAAAAAATGTGGTTACTTCTATGTAAAGTCCAGCCCAACGAAGCCCAGATTGCTAGCGGAAAACATAAAAATAAAACTAGAATAGAAGTGGCGTTAACAAACACCGGTACTCCTTGTGGCATCACCGGTTTTACTGTACTACAGCATGACTCTTGTTAATGCATGGAGGTAGAGTTCGAGTCAATAGATAGAATTGGGAAAAACTCTCTCCCTTTTTTCGGCGATACAGTCTGGTTAACGAGAAGCTTTGAACAAAGTATAGGGCAGAAGGGGTCAGGCAAGGGTTTCAGGTAAAAAAATGTTGCAGAAAATGAAAAAAAGGAAGCTTTAGGAGTGTTTGCTAAGCTCTTTCTCTAGTTAAGGTGATTGGCGAGGTAGAACCATTCATTTTGTTTTGGGTGTTACCGCTTTAATAGAAGAAGGAGAACTTTTGGTGGAGCGATACCAGAGAAACTGTTCTTACTGACCGCCTTGAGCTTAGGGTTTGCTACTCATGTCATTCTGCGGAACTTTCTTAAATTCTAGAGTTCCTTTGGCTCGGACGAAGGAGACTGATTCAAGAGAAGAGGCTTCGATTGAATCCATGACCTTTCTTGATCTAGAAAACGATGGACAACGGGGACTGATACAGGTGGTCCGCTTTAGCTTTGCTGAAGGCAGTTGGAGAAAAGTCCATTTTCCGGGGAATGCCAATGAAATTCCGTTCATAAGTATGATCTATGTTTCGTTTCAGTTCAGGACACTGGTAATTAAAGACTCGTATTCTTCTCCGTTCTACCTGATTTGCGGTTATGAAGTAATTCAATAGCTCCGGGCCGCTCACTGCATTCCGGGCAAGCCCCCATTACATCCTATATATTATTCATTGAGATTCCTACTAGATTTTAGCAAAAAGAATTATATGAACATTGTATTGCTATGCCCTGCTCTTTGGTTTAGGTTGGATCCGAACTTGATTAAGCCTGAAGATATTGTTACAGACCGGAAGCGAAAACATCATCAAAATTAATGGCTTCTTTCTTTGTCTCCTTTGGAAGATCTCTTATCGCTTGTCAATAAAAAAAAACCCTAAAAAATTAACATTTTACGGTGCTATTCATGAACCCTGTGACACTCCAATTTTTTCGGATATAAAATAGAGTAAAAAAAAGAAAATCTGGAACTTTATCTTCAAATACAGTATTTCTCAGTCCAGAAATTTGTAATGAGTTTGGAAAATACATTTTAGTTGATAATTTTCAATGGAATTTTATTGACGCAGAGTAAAAAAAATAAAATAAAATAATTAATAAAAACTTCATCTATAATTTCATCAAAGAGTTGATATGTCATTATTTATCGAAGAAATTGCAACAAAATTATTTCGCCAACAAATCTACACAAGTTATAACGGACAATTCTCTCCTCCTTTTTCCTGCTAAAAAAACACTACCAGCCCTATTATTTTCTCACAAATTCAGCCACCCTATCTCGTCGGTGTTGATCTACATCTATTAGTAGTGTTAGCATCCATTATTTTATTTTTTTGTGAAGTTTCGATACACAAAGAAAGCGAATTCATCTATTGTTTTGTAATCTATTTATGTTTTATGTTAGTTTATTGAATATTTTGAAGTATTTGTAGTTTTCTTATATATTTAAGTGTTTTATAGGTTTTTTCTAAAGAATTTTGTATTCAAGTATAATTTGAATGTTAGGGTTTGTTTGAGAGTTGAGAGAAGTTGAATTTTGATATCATTTGATGAAATTGATTTTGATTTTATAATTTAGATGAGTTATAATTAAAAATATGATGGGTTATTTTACTGGCACCAATAACATTTTATAAATATTATTAACTTAGAAATTTCGGGAAAGTTGATTTTTTATATAATTGATAAAATCAATATTATTCTATATAGATTTTATAAGAAATAAATGATTATTTTTAGATGTATCAAAATTTACCTGAATGATTGTATACACAAGATTATCTTCAAAGAGTTGAGAGTTTTATTAATTTTGTACCTTTTAATATGAAGAGTGTAGATGAAAATAGATGTTTATGTGTGAAGTATGAGAATAATAAATTCCACAATGAAGATGTTATGATGATGCATCTACTTAAAAAAAGTTCATTTTAAAATGAAATTTAGAAAAATAAGAGACAAAATAATAAAATAATAATAAAATAACAAAAAATAATGTCCTCTCTTGTAAAGAGAGAAACAATCACCTTTAATAAAATGAAGAAGAAGAAGCGAGAACTTTTTATGACTTTTTAATTCTAAGAGGAAACAAATAGAAAATTAAGAGATACATAGAGAGAGATTAGCGGTAAAAACATTATATAAGCAAGAATTCAAGGAAATTAAAGAAAAGTAGGAAGAATTGGAGAAGAAAGGAAATAAATCAAGAAATCATTCAAGAAAGTGATCTTTTGTATTTCAGATTCATTGGTAAGGTGTCTTGGCATGCCTTTTCTCTTATTTTTCTTAAACTTGAAGAGAAAGAGAAAAAGGCCCAATTTGTTTTGAAAAAATTAGGGTTCATTTAGATTGAAAAAACCTTAATGATTTGGTAAAGATTTCATGAAATAATGTTGTAATAAGAAGTATTTAGAAGAAATAAATAACAAATTAAAGAAACATCCAAGGGTAGAAACCCTAATTAGGTTTGACCAATTAAAGAAAACTTTATGTGTAATCTTTGCTTGAATTTATGCATGATTATGGTTGTATAAACATTAATGATGTGATAAAATTAAGTTTAGGGTTGAAAACTAAATGGAAAAATGAGTTGAATTCTTTGATTTTAGGGTTTTGAATAATATTGGTGAAAATCATGTTACTTTAAAAAACAATGAAATTTTATGATTATGAAATAGAATAAAGGGTAATATTGTGGAAGAATTAAGAAAAAAACCTTTTAGGAGGAAGATGGAGGGTTTTGGTCACAATGAGTTTTGTGGATGAAAGAGAGATTTTTAGTATTTAAGTGTATTTCCTTTAAGAATTCATCATTTGGTATGTTGAGAATGTAACTTAAATGAGTATAAAATGATCTTGAAAGGAAAACTAAAGAATTTTAAGGATAAAGGTTTTAGCTAGAGAAAGAAAAAAGAAGAAATTTTCTATAAATGGACTAGCTATTTTGAGAAACGCTAGACTATTTTGACTATTGCTTAATTTTAGTTAATTTTAGTCGATTTTGTGTTTTTTTTGGGTTTTTTAGGTTTGTTTAAAGAAGATGAAAATTATTTGATCTAATTTAACATAATAAATGTGTTTAGTAACGATGACTAAAACATTTAATTTGAAGTTAGTCTAATAAGGACAATTATAATAGCTTAAATTTGATCAATTCATGGTCGTTTTGGCACCCTAAGATAGTAAAAATAAGGGTTGAAGTAGCACCGTTGAATGAGAAAGACTT